AGGCCCGCCCACGCGAAAAAAAATCGTGATCCAAAACAGGTTTCTGTCATTGGCTTCCGCTGTGGAAGCTTGAGAACTTTCAGACCAAAGTCATGCATGCTGGAAAGCTTCGATGAAGAAGCTCCGAGACTTGCCGAATGAATGCACCCTCGGTCCCTACCCTGCTCATGAGCTGTGGCGTCAAGAGGGACAGGACTTATCTGGACAGCGGGGGCGTTGGACCACGACTTCCGCAGATTTTTATCACCCCACAGCTTATGCTGGAGGCGGCACCTAAGACTCGAGTCCGCTGTAACGTGCGCGACCTGCCCAGTTTTACGGGAGAATCAAGTTCGTTTCCTTTGCTCCCTTTGCGAGGATGCCTTCATTGATCCGGGTACGTCTTCCGAGGTGATTTGGATTCCTGGCCTCGCAGAGACCTCACGCCGTTGACAGCTCCGCCACCTGGCCTTAAGCGATCAGTAAACGCCTAGTGGCTCATTCTCACTCTGCAATGGTTTGCATTGGTGCTCAGCCACGGGGCGACAGCTGAGCCGTGAGCAGGCCTGTCATACTAATGTCTACCCACCCGGACCATGTGACCATTCCTGCCCTTGCCACCACTGCCGTTTCTTGTTGGATTTTTGGACTTTGGTGTGCACGAGCAGCCACCGAGACCCGCAGACGCCAAAATGGAGCCGCCAAATCGATAGCGGGTGTCGAAGGCCAGGTCGCGTTGGTCAAGACTGCGATAGTCCGGTTGCGCACGACGGTCGGTGGACAAACAAGCGAACCGTGCCGGTGTACAGTGTGGAGTGAGTGAATATGTCGGTTAACTCGTCACCATGGACTATGATTTGGCCTTACTGAATTCTTTGCATCATTCTTGGATGGATCTTTAATGCTGAGGCAAGAAAACGTTTCCGGAGATGCAATTGGACGGGTAGAAGAGTGTGCGACGCGTCAGAAGTGTGGCCTGAATGATTTCTCGCAGTGAGCAGTTGGCCGCAGGCATGCATCTCAGTTTTCTTTTGGTGTGGTCAGGCCTCATCGACGGCGGCTGCCGCACTCGATCTTAGTAAGAAACTAAGAGACACAAAGAAAGCAAAAAGACTGTACAAAGTAATAGATGTGAAACAGGGCTGCGACGTGCAGGCTTTGCCGGCAGGGGTCCGACGGAGAGAGATGTTTTTGCCCACTGCCCGCGCAGTGGTTTGTTCATGAGAAGGATCTCAACCGTGCCCGCAAGGAGGCTGGAAGCAGCAGCAACAAGGATCAGACATCTCGGCAATGAAGTTTTTAGCATCCGATTGATGGATTGTGCATGAGCTGTAGCGGTCCATGGGCCTGGAGCGGCCGGTGACCCGAATCCGTCCATTTTCTCGTGCTTCTGTCCTTCCCACTCGTCCCAGATTGGACTACGACGGTTTCCGCATGCCTTAGGCCTGGGTCTGAACGCCCGTGGCAACTCTTTCTGTTGGACCAAGACGCAGTACTCGCCATCGAATTTGATATTGCCCCATTAGGGCCATTCGGCAGCGCATAGAGCCTCCACGGCTTCATCCGTCCAAGTGTTTCCTTTGTTCAATACTGTTCGAGCAGTTCGCTCTTGAAATTGATCACCTCGTTCAATGAAACGGGGCACAGAGCTGGCAGAAGCACTCTCCACGGTGTTTGGGTCGGCTTGTGTCGTTGTAAAATCCGTGCTGGAAAGGGACTCTGCTGTTGAAAGTTTTTTTTTTTCGAATTTTTGGGCAATGGGCCAAAAAGATTTAAGATGAAAATTTAGTGTAGTATGATTTCATAGTCATCCGTCTTTCTGCGTTTTCAGTATATGTCAGTCTCAGTCTTTTGTCCTCGTGGTATTTGATGCTCAGTCTCAGTTTTTTTGATACCCACCCACCACCCGTGTGTGGGAACGGGTCGGACCAATCCTGGACTTAACCGGAAGGGGGGGCAAGGCTACGCACACCAGGTGTGCTTCACCTTCCTCCGACGAGGGGGCATCCACCACCATCCGAGTAAAAACATGGTGCGCTTTGATCGATTACTTCATCCTGGAGTTTTTGTATTTATAATATGGGAGACTGTTTCAGATATGCTGCGAATTTTTTACTAAGGTTTTAGCGTTCGGCTCCAAACCCCGAAACAGGAATGCTGGAAACAGGGTACTTCGACATGGTTCTGTGTTTGAACATCTTCTTTTGATTGTTTTGCCGTTTGCAGGTGCGCCTTTGCGATGGAAAAGCACTTCTGAGAAGGCGTGCTTGTCATAGAGGCCTCCCAAGTTGAAGCTTGGCAAGGAGTGTCCCTGGAACTGGAACAATTGCGTGCGTGCTGGCGATGCAAGCGGTTATTCTTGCTGTGCCAAGGTTGAAGGATTTCATGACGTTGTTGCAGATAGCTAAGCAGTCCAATCACTTTTTGTTACTTTTTGTTCAAACGATGCGACCCCCTGTCTATCTAAGCTGGCTCCGAGACACGAGCAAACCACGTGGCTACCGAATTCCATGCCTAAGTCTTCAGCGCCATACCAGTTCACCTTGCCAGTTTCGCTCACAGATCCCTTTCCTTTGGGATGCTGTTAGCATGCACCCGCGATGGCGTTGCAGGGGGAGGTCGTGAGTCCACATATGTTCCACCCCAACACAGGGTGTCGACACCTAGAGCATCAACTCCTTCGTTAGAGCTGGCCATGTTGCAAGCGTTCTGCAAGGAGGAGGCCTGTCATGGCATTATCGTGGCTGTTGCCGCTGCTCGTACTACTCTCGGACCATAACTTACGGCTTGGATTCATGTCGCACGGTGTGCTTCCAGAATCAGCCCGGCCATCCATATAAGTTGGCTTGAGCCGGACGTTGCAGAGAGGATCGATGATTGTTAGGACTTCGAGGCTGTATCGTTTTGAGCTTACAGCTTCCAAGCGAGCTTTGATCAAGTCCTTGTGTCATAGACTCATAGACATAAACGATGCCAGGGAATGCAAGGGAGACCGTACGGATTTTGTAGCATTTGTTTTGTCAAAGAGCTTCCGCACGAGACCTTCTTTCGGGTCGCCATCCTCGAAGCGCTGCCGTGCTGAGCAGAGGCTTCGGGCTGAGCTGATGCGCGCAAACCACAACATGCATGCGGTTGATGGTTCTGTCACGAAGCTGGATGTGCAGACTTCATTAGGGGCCCATATTCAAGGTCTCATGGCGGTTCTGAGGTGCTCTAGCCACTTGAAGTGCTGGTGCAGATTGGACGACAGAGTAGGCCGCGTGGCATTCTGATGCGTTGTACTGCGTCGCATGATCGAGGCTCGATATGGGCAACAATCATATGCTGCAGCTTTCATATTGCAGAGACATGAAACGAGCCATAGGGACAAACGCGCAGGCTAATTGGCAAGAGGGCAGATAGTTCGGCTTGTGAGTAGTTGCAAGCTGCGAGATGGGACGGCGTTACGGCGCGTGGCGGCGACCTTTCCGACCCCCTTTGAAAACTTGCGCAAGCAGAGACCTGAACCTTGATCCTTAAACCCTCTACCCTAAACCCTCAGCCCTGAGTCTTAAGCCCCTGAACCCTAAACCCGAAACCTCTAAACCCCTAAACTCTCAGTGCCGAAGGTCCTGGGGGGTGCCATGGCCGGTTCTCTCAGAGGGAGAGTGTCTCGTTCTTTTATCGCAGGGCTTCAGCTGGGTTTGGGGTTTAGGGTTTTAGGGTCTAGGAGTCTCAATTTTAGGGCATACTGGGTTCTTGTTAAGCAGGTTTTCATCTAAGTTACCATAGATCTATAGTAAATACAATGTTTTTTTGTTACTGTGGCATCTTAACTTAAATCCCTCACCAAGAACCCAACAAGAACCCAGTTGTCTAAGGGAGAACGTCTCGTTTTGAGGTCTTTTGGCTTGGCCAACCCGGGTGATGTGACGGTTGCGTTCAGCGATTGCAGGGTTTGAAATCGGTTCTACCGCTTCCGTTACCCTTGCATCTTCTTCAAAGCAGAATCGTATTCTGCATGATGTGCAATTTTTGACATAATCTGGTTCTCATGATCTGAGGGAACGGCAGAACTGAGACCGCCATGTCCCCGAGTAAGGAGGTTCAACTGACATGACGCTGTCAGCGATTGTGACGGCACGCTCTCAGGCAGTGTGCGAGTAGAAAAGGATAGTATAGGAAAGTGTTGTATATCATGACAGACCTTGCAACATAAAATCCGGGTTAGGTGGAGCTTGGGCTGGCACTTAGTAGTTGATGCCTCGTTTGTGATGAAGCTGCTGCATGGTTGCGGGGTGTTCTTGCTCCATAAGCTGACTTTAGCTGTCGACGCACGTACCAATGCAGAGGCAGACGCCGACTCCAGTCTTTTGCTTATTCATGTTGTTGGTCGGTCTCGAGCTAGCATCCCGTCCGGACACCCCGTATAGGAACAGTCCTTAGGCACCCTACGGACATTCACCAAGACCTGAAAGACTGTGGGTTTGCAGAAGCCGGTCGCGTTCTCAAGTTATGTATGTTGTCGCGATGCTTTGTCTATTGCTGTCGATAGAAGCAAAACTGCTGTTGTGCAGTCGATCTTGAACATTGGCAGAACAAAAAAACACAAGTGGCACGGGTTGGAATGTGTGCTCGCACATCGCGAAGGGATTTTGAGTTGTAAGACGGGGCTTTCTGAGGGAAGTGCGGCAGCTCTTGTCACGAGCAGCCGTAATATAATACTTTAAATAGTAGGATCCTTACTATAAGGACCCACCGAAATACGGTACCCCTAATTTTCGGAAAATCCCAACTGCCTCAATCTCAGGCCTGAGTGACCCTTCGCCAGCTTCATACTTGCCTCCAGGCGGGGCTGTTGAGACAGCGGTGTTAGAAGAAGGGATGTTGTTCTTGCTGCCTTTCGCTTGCGAAGACTCCAGACTGATTGTCGAAGATTTGGGCGTTTCAATGTGCAGACTTGAGAGGAACAGGTGAACCTCACTTTTTTGAAGCTTGCTGCTCAAAAGCACGGTGTAGTACCTCCTTCCAAGCTACGCACAATGGCCCAGTCTTTGGATGTTCTCTCACGTCGGGAGCAGTTCTGCTCAGCCGACGAATCCCTTCAGCTGCTGTCCAACTACTTGAGACATCGCTACGGGCAGCTGGAGCGTTCTCAGACCCCGCCAGCAGCGCTGGTAGGCCGGATGACGGATTTGGTGAACCAGGAGCCCAAGGGGTTGCTAACTCAGCAAGGCAACTCAAGCTTTCTGTCTGTAGCCTTTCCGAATTTAGTCACCTTGCGCTTTACGGCCTTCGGTTCTTTCGCCATGCATGAGACAGGCACGTTGCCCGCAGTCGATGTCCGCAGGAGTTTCGCATCCTCGATGCCTGCATGAAATTTACCGAAGCTTGCGGAGAGATTGTTGCAGAATGTAAGAAGGCGGAGCAAGTGCCGGATGAAGTGCTCTCGGACATGCTGGAAGAGGTGATGGACTACTGCCAGACCCTACAGCTATTCAGTCAGCAGCGCAAGGACAACGTGACGGCCATCGTTGAGATGGAAAAGCAAAATTTGGAGGAATTCCGCCGCCTCCATCAGTCGGTTGAAAATCGAGCGAATGTTGAGACTGCCCTTACTGCGGTTGGAACTGCGGGAGCAGCAGTTGCCGCAGCTGCCGCGGGTCCAGTCTCCTTGGTGGCAGTAGCCTTGCTGAGCTTGGCAGCAGGGACCTCGATCCGAACCCGCCGTGATGCAGCAAACAGAGTCCAGCAATCATTGGTGGAGAGCATGCAAGCCAAAAATGTGCCCGTTCAGTGCCTTGTCCATTTTCTGGAGCGTTGCAGCTGCATTTTTGGCAGTCTCAGCCTGTGTAAGACTGTCGGCATGATCCTTGGCTGAGGTGCATGGAGACCTTCGCCAAGAACCTGGACGATGCCATTGAGAGAATTGCCGAGGATGGTTCTAAGATTTCGGGGCGCTCTGCTCGCATCAAGCGCCGCATGGAGATGATCTTGGAAGAGATCCAAGGTGTGCAGACGAGCCTCAGACTCATGCTATGTTCGTGTTCTTTGATGTCCTTGCATCGAATTGATCTGGATTTATCAGGTAAATTCGGGCTTTTCAGCAATTTCATGTCTGTTTCGCCACAGCCGCTCTCGTGCAACATCCACTGAGGGCTGCTTCTCAGAACTTTCTGAGCTTGGCCAGTGATCCTACGCTCGCGGCAGCCTTTCGCATGAATGAGCAAAGAAGGCTTTTGATTGCGGAGCAATCACTGGCTCGTGCAGCGGTGTCCTTGAAAGGATACATGGGCGGTGTTGGTGGCGGATGAGACGCGCGGCGTTTGATCTAGGGATCCATGTGGAGGTATCAATGTATGAGGTGTCAAAGGCCCGTCGAGGAGCTGACTTTCAAGTCTTGTCGCTTCCTCGCAGCTTCTGAGTGTAGTACGCTCAAATCCTGGAGGGCTTCAAGACCACTTATGGCAGAAGGAAAAGCAGAGACGTTCTGAGTGCTGACGCTTGTGCTTTCCGCGTGTTGCAGCTTGTGTTCTGCCAGGTCTCAGCTTTTTTTGGAGCCCATTGCAGCTGCCTCATGCAGTATGTGTATTCGTTCTTTCCTCCCTGTGCTGCGTTCAGTGGCTCAAACTCCTTGCGAAACTGGAAGTCGGTCACACCAGATGACCCAGATCATCACAGTCCCCGCTTGCGGTCCCGCATGGTGTCGTCAGACGCCTCCGTGTGATGGGCCGGTTTCAGTGGCCCCAGCACTTCAGAACTACATGAGAGGAAGCTCGGATGATGCATTTACGAAGCGTTTCTTTAAGTGCGCTGTGGTTTTTCAGATCCTTGGAACTCAGCTGGTGGATCTGGTTTGGTTGATGGTGTTGGCAGTTTCGCCTCCTGCATGACGTTTGTTCATGGCCTTTCTCCAAGGACTGGAGAGCCTTATTGGCAGGCTTCGGGAGATGCCAGACAGCTTGCTGAAAATGGACTTGCAGAATGTAATCTACCGCTACTTTGCCGAGAGCGCGCGTTTGTTCAAGCAGATCCAGCACAGCATCCGCTCCGGAGAAGCCGAGCTGTCAGTGATTCGCGATGGTGAAGAGCCAGCAGCTGAAGATTTGACAGCAGCCTTTGTTGACTTCATGGAGGCCGTGAACTCGTTTGGCAGTTGGAGATCCAAGGGGCGCTTGGACGTGGAGGAGAAGTTGAAAAGAGCTCTGCGATCAAACAGGAGGCTGTCCACTTTGCCTTGGAAACTGAGTGCAACTGCCTGTGTGTGCCTCTTGGCCTGTAGCGCCGCCAGCTTGGGAGGCGCTTCGGTTTACAGGCTGCCGCTGTTGCTTTGCCACAGTTGGGTAACATTTTACATTTTTATGGGTACTTAAACCCAATAAGGAATAAGAAATTACGTTCTTAATCCTATCCCAGCCATGAACTAGGTTGTGGATAGTTGGAACGGCGGTGGGTTCGGCCTTGGCGGCTGTGATGTTCTGCTGTCTTCGACGCCGGCAGGATGTACGGCAACTGGGAGGTTTGAAGACTCTGTGGGAGAAGATGGGAGTTCTGGAATCCAACGTGGATGAGTTGCTCCGATCTTGGACGCCAGACTTGCACATGCTTTCCTTCCCGAAAGCCCTTGAATCTGCCCAAAGGATCCGATGCCAACTCGACCACTTTATGCAGCAACTGCAGATGAAGGCCTTAATTTTCGATCCTTCTGTTCCCAATGCCTCATAATGATCCTCTGTCAAAACAGGCCACTAAAGCGTGTGGCACGAATGCGCTATGTGGTCTAAAGCGATCCAGTTTTGGTGGTAGCATGTGGTAGACATTTTGAACTGCTCTGTGCAGATGACAGGCAAGAGTGTAGTACGCTTGAGTTCTGTTGGGCAGGCATGGGCCGGTTGTGACGAAGACATCACAGCGATGGAAAAGGTGTAGCATGCCAGTTTGCAAAGCATGGGAAGAGCGCTGAAACCCTTCTTTTATCGCCGTCGTTTTGTAACGAACCATGACCTCCCATGAAGAGTTAATTTCGTTTCGGTGAGGGCAGCTGAAATACCAGCTGCGTATAGACATCGTAGACTTGCAGTGTCCTTTGTCTGTTTTCTGGTTTCGCTTGTGCTTTGTAGGAGGCTGGTCCGTGCCTTGTCGAGGCAAGTAGGCAAGTCGACCAGGCACGCACAGCCACGTCATCGCATGCACCTCGTTTTTGCATCGCTAGAACGAGTTGCCGGTCTTTGTGACAGGCTCAGAAGAAGTCACAGAGGCTTTGTGTTCTGACCGGCGATTAGCCATGGCTCAGAGTTCTGATGTGCTGTCGCGGCGGCAGCAGGCTCTGCAGGTGGAAAGCCCGAAGATTGGCCAGCTTCTTACGGAGTACGGGAAGTTTCGAGTGGAGGAGCTCAAGAAGGGCAAAGAAATCCCGCCGGAAATGGTCCGCCGGATGAAACTCTTGGTCAACCAGGACCGGGTGATGGAAAATTTGGTCCCTTGTGTTGTTTAGACCTGAGCTGACCTTGAACAAGCCGTGCCAGTTCCAAGGGGACGATGCGGTGCAGCACTCCGTTCTCTCGTGATTGTTTGTTCTTACACTGCGAGAAGGGGTACACATGCTGTTTTGTTTTTCACAGAGGTTGTTTCTAGGGAAGGGCTTGGTCTGTGGCAGTTTCCCAGCGAGGAGTTCCGCATCGTTAAGCAGAGCCGGATTCTGAAAGAGGTCTTGGATGAGATTCTTCGCGCTTGTGAAAGAGCAGAGACGGTACCAGACGCGGAGCTCCAGGAGAAGCTTCAAGATGTACAGGAATACTACACTGACTTGGCGGAGTCCAATCAGGCACGTAAGGACAACGTAAGCTGCATCCTCGGTGCCGAGCAAGAGCACTTTCAAAAATTCCGTAAGCTCCATGATGATGTGGATTGGGAGCGCAAGACTTCCGGTGTGTTCTCTGGCTGTGGGGCTGCTGCAGGCTTGGCTGTAGGCCTTGCAGCCGCGTGTCCTGTGACACTTTTGGGCGTAGCACTCTTTACGGCTATCAGTGGAGTGGCAACTGCGGAGCATCGCTCTAACGCCATGCGGCTTCAAGAATCCTTGGTTAAAGACATGGAGGCCAAAAACGTCCCGATGCAGCCGCTCGACCGTGATGTTTCTCTCTGTAAACAGAGTGTCTTGTGTTGGTTTGCAGCGTGTCCTGTAGACGAAGCGTCGATTGCAGCCAGCTTACAGGTAGTGCATCTCCAGCGGCGTGTTGTTATTGACCTGCCAAGGTATTTGGAGACCTTGGCAAAGAATTTCGATGACAGCATCGCGAGGCTGGAAATCGATGCCGGCAAGGTCTCTGGCCGATCTGCGAGGATCAAGCGCCGGGTGGACATGATGTTGGAAGAGATCCAGGGCATTCAAGTGCACCTCGGCTGTTTGCTCCGACCATTCTCTCTACTTCTCGATACGTCTTGCTGTGGTTCAGATCTTGAGACCAATCCCTAAACCCTAAACCCTACACCCCAAAACCCCAAACCCTAACCCCTAAACCCTTAACCCTAAACCCTTAACCCTAAACCCCTAACCCTAAAAACCCTAAACCCTTAACCCCTAAACCCCAAAACTCAGGTCTGCGTGCCAGAACTTTGTGGGCTTGGCCAGTGATCCGACCCTCGCAGCAGCCTTCGGCATTACAGAGACAAGACGGCTGCTAGAGGTACAGAAAGAGCTCCGGACTGCGGCCGGAGCCGTGGGGATGTGACGTGATGCCCCTTTCTTGAGAGTTTTGGCCCATACATGCTTTGTACACCGCTCCCGACAGTTGTTTGCTTGAGATGTGGCGTAGTACGCCTCTCCAGCACAAAGTGCAGCCGCGCCTTCTAGAACGAGATTGCGCAAAGACCTGAGAGAAAAGCTTGGGGTAGCAGATGTCGCGGACTGGCTGTGTGCGTCGCCGTGATTCGGTGTTCCGTTGCATCCAGCGAATCAGCCACGGTCAGCGTAAACATATTCAGGTTTGTCGCAGTTTGGTTCCAGCAGCTCAGATCCAGCGACCCAGCAGTAGAGGCAGCATGAATCCGTGTGTGTTGGCGACGCAATCCCACCGTCAGCAGCCTCGCCAGCAGTTCGACTTGCAGTGCAGTCAGCTTCGGAACTACATCGCCGGAAACTGGGTGGCATTGAAAGGGATGGGATGTGTAAGTGAATGATGCGAATTTTGCCCAAAGGCCTCCTATGAAGGTGTGTCCCAATGCAATTCAATTAAAGTTCGGGCTTGGCTACAGCTGAGATTTCTCTGTGTAGGTCTGGCAGTGGTGAACTGCAGCTAACCGGCAAAAAGTTGGATAGCCAGAGCTGGACATACCCATGCGCGATGCGATGGAATCACTTGTAAGGGAGCATGACGCACACTTGGCCATCTAGCTCATCTTAAGGGCCACGTTGAGGCCTACAGGCGTTTGCTTCGCATACCGCTGTGAGACCCCGTCCGGACTTTGCCAAGACTGATCCGCATGACGAAACAAGGAAACAAGCCCATGCCTGGATCATGTTAACGGCGTTGTCAGCCCCTATCTCAACCAAATCCGGCCAAGAAAGCGACAAGGGGGCCGTAGGAAGGGAGCGAAGATTCATGCTTCACATTCATAAACCATTCTGCTTGATTTGCCCCAGAAATGACCCGCAAAAGCTTTGCAGAGGGACACATCGCTGACTCTCGCTCATGTTTTTGCCTCCGGAAACAGCGCTCAAGTAGGCCGAGTGACCGCTGTTTGCACTTTATGTTTGCCCTTGATATCCTCGCGCCAAAAAGAGTGCTTGCTGTGGTTGCAAAGTTCACAATGAAAGACTTTCCGACTTTCTTTGGGCCTGACAGACAGCTCGAGCCATACTGGGCCTTCCAGCAAGCAATAGCACTAGGCCATTAGGCGTTTAGGTGCTACATCTTCACCGTGTCTCAAGTCGCGCTGGGGGTTTATCCTCCATGGGACTGACCAGAACCGCTCTGCGGCGTCTGAAGTACAAATGATGTACCATCATATTGGTATCTACGTGGACAGTACACAATCTTCAGCGCGGCTTTGAAGTCGTTGCACAGGGAAGAAGGCTTGCCGCGGTGTCCGCAGCCACCTGGGTGGGATCGCAAGCACGCGTGATTTTCATGGTGGATAGCAGTGATAGCCTTTCAGATTTTGAAGGGTTCGTGTAGAAAGAGCATCCAATCTGAGTGCGATTTTGAAACCGAGCCTTTGCACAAGTGAGGACTTCAGGACCTGCAGAACAAGTTGCAAGACATGCCGGGCTCTTTGCTGAAGATGGACGTGCAGAATGTGATCTACCGGTACTTTGCGGAGAGTGCACGTTTGTTCAAAAAGATCCAGCACAGCATCCGCAGTGGAGAAGCAGAGCTATCAGTGTTTTGTGACGGTGAAGAACCAGATGCTGACGACATGCGGCAAGCTTTTGAGGAGTTTCGCCAGGCAGTGGAAGCCTTCAGTTGCTGGACAAAGGATCCGAGAGCTGCAGCTGGAGATGATCTCAACGACAGGTTTGACAAGGAAAATCGTGATGAAATGAAAGCTGCAGCCGGTGGGGCAGTTGTCGCAGCCGGGACTGGTGCCGTGGCTGCTACGGCTGGTGGCCTTGGCTGTCCTGTTGCCGTCCTTGCTTCCGTGGGCGCCGCCATCCTGGGTGGCAGTGGCATGCTGCTGCAGCACCCGGGGGGAAGTTGCGCAGGTGTGCGCAAAGGGATTCGCGATGTGGTGATGTCATCTTGGCATGACGCTGGACGAGCAGAAGAGGACATCCTGTCATTCCTGTCGCGTTGGCCGGTGGGGTTCCACCAGATGTCATTCCCGGCGGCGTTGCAGAGAACCAGAGACTTCAGAGATGAATTGGACCGCTTTCTGCAGCTCCTGCAGATGGAGGGCTTGATCTTTGACCCGTGCAGCAGTTCATCCCGGTTCCAGTGATGCGACTTGACCTGACGCGAATCTGCAGATCTCCCCAAGTGACGTGCCCTCATGACCTTCTGAGACCTTCCCGGTTTAGAATGCTTTTGGTCTGAGGATTTTGGCATGTAGCACTGCGAGTCGGCGTAGTACGCTGAAGACACAGGATGCTGGTGTGTGCGTGCGTGTGTGTAGAAATCGGAGTGGTCTCGTGCCTTTGCTTCAGTTTCATCTTTTGCAAAGCCGTCCAAGTTGCAGATGGGCGCAGATAGCACGAAGAAGAATCGAGGCGACATTCGCTACGAATACAGAATACGTTGATTATGTTTCGTGTGGAACCTGTGGGACTTGGACAGGTAAGCGGATGCGTCGCTGATGCCAGCTATCATTAGCTCGCTTCGCGATGAGACGCGGCAGGTGCAGAAGTCTTAGCGACACAGCCTCGGTGTAGCAAAATAACCTAATGCTGCGGCAGGCTGGTGATTCTCAGCTTGTAGTTTTTGCCCTTGTTACAGGAACAGTGTGAGGTGCTTTTGTTGTGCCAGGCACATCTGATGGCATAGCATCAATACCAGCACATGCACGGGAAGGCAACATTGCCTTGATAACTGGAAGTGCGACACTGTATTTTTTGCTTGGGCCGTCAACTGTTGCCAACTGCAACGTTGCATCCTGATGCCTTGGCACTCCCACGTATACGTACACGTATGCATATACATATACGGACATATACGTGTATATGTACACTTATACATACGTGCAGTCATACATATACACACACAGGTACACGCACAACCGCATGCGTACCTGCCTGCATACAAATATATACGTACGAGCAAGTACGTATATGGCAGTAAGATATACGTGCTGGTTTGAGATGTACACACACACACACACCAAGCCGGCGAGTCCACTGCCGGCGAGGCCTCGGCGCTGCTGGCCGAAGCAGAGTGTCTTTGGAGGTCCTCCGGCTGCGCGGGGCGTTCTTCTCCTGGTAGTGGAAGTGCTGTAAGATGTGCACATACGCATCAGTGTTTACATAGTTTCCGGGATGCATACAGATTTGTATACAGTGTAGATATACACTCACATGTGTGTCACGTTGCCGGCGTGGAGCAATCTCGGTTCGAATCTCGTTCCCGGAAAGGCTCTTACACTTCGCATTCCTGACCCGATGACCATGTCCTCAGGGCATCGTCGTTGGACAACCGCAAGGCCCGCAGCGGGCCTTTTCATCCTTGCGCTTGGCCGCCTCTGCTGCGCTGACTGCATTGGGGCGAGCTGCGCCGCCACGGGGGCGTCGCTCTTGGCGCTGAAGGCGGAGACACAAACTTCCGCTTCCCTTGGCGACCTCGAGGAGCGTGGCTACCCCATCAACATGACAGTGAATGGCAGCAATGGGACTGTGGACACGCAGTTGGAGATGATTGTGGGCGAGAACGCTGAGCAAGACATGAAGGAGATGAACAGTATCCCGAATCCCGAGAATGCCAGCAGTAACGGAACTCATGGGATGGGCGAGTTGGCCCGCAACTTGGAGTTCCTGATGCTGAAGATCGTCCAGCTGGAAACGGTGGTGGAGATGCAACAGCATGAGATCCAGGACCTCACTGTTTCTTGCCCAGGTCTAGGTGTGCGATGTTAGAGTAGTGAGAGTATCTGACCAGCCAAGGCTCCTCTGCCGTGAGATGTGCGAAGTTCGCTTGCTGGGGCTTGTGAAATCCTTTGCTTTCGCAGGACCTCCGCAGCGTCATCGGCGAGCACTTCGACCTGGATCACAATGACACCACGGCTTCCTTGAAGCAGGTGGATCCCGAGGCCCGCACGAAGAAGGCCCAAGAGATCCTGAAGAAGGTGATGCAGAAGCACAATCACCAGCGCGAGAAGCGGGACTTCAGTCCGGAGGCCCACCGCCGCCAGGAGCCAAAGGAAGAGCTGAACCAGGCGGAGGGAGAGGCCGAGGCCCAGCAGCGGAAGTTGCTTTCAAAACGTGACGAGGAGGCCAAGGACAGCGTCCTGCTCGAGGCTGAGACCGATGAGACGGAGGAGGAGGAGGAACGATCTTCCCGCCGACGCGGCTGGCGTCGCCGACGTCGCCGATTGTTCAAGTCAGTGACAAAGGCTGTGAGCAGCGCCGGAAATGCGGTCGCCAGCACGGCATCAGATGTTGCGGCGGCTGCAAATGATGGCACCGGCTTAGTCGGGAATGCGCTGGGCGACGCCTATGAGCATGCAGCCGACCAGGTGACTTTCGTGGCCAACACTGTGATTGACTCAGTAGAGCTGGCGATTGACATCTTGGTCCGTGGCTTCTCTGACTGGAATGCCGGTTGCCCAGACACCCGCACGCCAGACATGCACGTCGATGGAGACGGCATCCGTGTGGATTGGGGTCGTCAGAAATGCTGGGTCCGGCTGATGGGCCACTGGGTTCTTGTTGAGAAGTTCCGTTCCCTTACCAAACAAGGAAACCCGATTATCTACTCTAGATTTCAGAGCACCATTAAGGCAACTTAACATACCAAGTCCCTTAACCCCAGACCCATATAGAATCCCGAAAGGGGCCCTTAGGGGAGCCCTAAATTATACCCCAAGCCCTGAGCCCTAAAGGAAACCTTAAAGGAGCCCTCCCCAATAGGAGCTCTTAAAGGAACCCTGAGCCAACACCCTAAACTAAACCCTAAAGGGGCCCTTAAAGGAGCCCCTACCACCCTAAACCAACACCCTCAACTAAACCCTAAAGGGGCCCTTAGAGGAGCCCCTACCTTCTCCGAGCTGAGGCCAGACCTGCAACCTCTTCGACTTCAACTTTGGATCCGTGTCCCTGAGTTGGCCCGAGCCCCTGAAGACCGTCGTGGGCTTCGGCTTCTCGGCTCTGCTTAAGGGGCTTAACTTACGCCTTAAGCTATCATCATGGGGATCTGCGACTCTCTCTCTCTCTATGTCGAAATCGCTATATGTCTATTTCTCTCCCTTTATTTATGTATATAGAGAGAGAGAGAGAGAGAGAGAGAGAGAGAGAGAGAGAGAGAGAGAGAGAGAGTGAGAGTCGGAGTAAAGAAGAGGGTTGCCTTGGTATGGTAGCTAATTAAGGTCCTGAGCAAGAGCCCCTACCCCCCAAATCCCTAATCCCTAAACCCTAAACCCTAATCCCTAAACCCTAAACCCTAATCCCTAATCCCCAAACCCTAAGTAACATCTTGAAGAAGTGCCCAGGCTTGATGCCCGTCCGCTCCATGTTCAACCTGGGCGCCGACCTCGTGGACTGTGCCACCTCCGGCTCCGCCGTGGAGGCCGGGAGCGATTTCGGGGGGGTTTAGACTTTAGGGGCCCAGAGACTCCAATATCCCCTAATTAAGGAATATACCTTAAATTATAATAGGATCCTTAATATGATTTAAGGAATATTCCTTAATTAAGGTATATTGGAGTCTCTGGGGGGCCTGAATAGTTAGAAGAGGGTTCCTTTGTAAGAGCTGCTATAAGGGTTTTTTAAGGCCCCTATATTAGGGTTTAGGGGCCTTAATGGTTAGAAGAGGGTTCCTTTATCAGGGTTACTATAAGGGTTTAATCTAGGGGCCTTAATAATTGGAACAGGGTTTTAGGGGTATAGTATATTGCAATCATAATAAGAGTAGGGCCCCTATATCAGGGTTCAGGGCTAGGGCTTTCTAGTGGTTTGCAGGCCGTATCAGGTTGTATGGCGTCCTTCGCCGGAAAATAGTTTACGCTCACGCCACCGAATTTCGTTAAGCTTCCGTTCTTCTCGGGGTTACTGTAAGGATCTATATCGCAGGGCTGGTTGAGCGCACTAGCAAAGCATTTAAATTTGCGAGAGCTCAGAGAGAGAGAGAGAGAGAGAGAGAGAGAGACAGAGGATGGTAGGAACCTGAGGAATCTGGTACCCAGAGAGACCAATACCCCTTAATTAAGGAATATAGCTTAAATCATGTTCTCATGTAACTGCTGTCGAGCCTCAGTCCGGACCCGCAGGAGCAGTCTTCTCTCGTTGCGGTAACACGACGGTGAAGAACACTCTATGCTGAATAAAGGTTGATGGAAGACCAACCTCAGCGTTCCTCAAGGTTCGCGGGAGCATAGCCTTTCACTTCGCTCTTCCTGTCCTGAAGCAACGAGAGAGAGAGAGAGAGAGAGAGAGATATAGAGAGAGAGAGAGAGAGAGAGAGAGATATTCGGAGTTCTGAAAATCGGCGTTTGTTTTGAAAATCGCTGTTTCGTTACCTTTCAGCTGCCACCTGCGGGATGGGACACGGATTGCCACGTGCATCGAATTTCTACACCCCTAAGATGCAATGCCCGATCGGGACCCGGGATTCATAGCCTGAGGGAGTCAGTTTAGGCATGGTTTCGACACAGGAGGTGAAGCAAGTGCAACTTTGGTGGGGGAGTTGAGGCTTGCGGCGGCTTGGGTCGGTGCTTTGAACCGGAGCTTGCTGCTAAGACAGTGCCGGCGCGAGGGGTTGGGACTGACAGCAGTGAAGCGCAGGTTCACACACGGGCCCTGAAACCCTCCCCTTCCAGCAACTGAGGGTTTTGGGGCCCGTTATGCTATTCTAACAAGGAACCACCAAAACAGTATAGGTTACTGTGAAGGCTTGTCGGAATGTCTTTGCGCCAAGCCCTGCCAGGTCGTGAAGTGTCTGGGCTTTCGGCTGATACAGGAGGGTGGTCGTCAAAATTAGGGTCCAATGGGTCCGTATCATAATACGGCACCTAATATTTAGCTTACCTTCGGTTAGTAGGGGATGGAAGAATGGTAGTAATGGTAGTTATAATTGTACCCCATTCTTCCATTCCCTACTATCTACTAGCAAAAGGTAAGTTAGAGTACCCCAAAGGGAACCAAAATTTTGACCACCACCCCAGGAGGTGCCGCCGCTGAGCCTCCTGACCAGGATGAGCCTTCGTCATAGTTGGGTAACATTTTACATTTTTATGGGTACTTAAACCCAATAAGGAATAGAAATTTAAAATTTGAAGAGGTTTTTTATAAAAACCTCTAAGGAATAGAGATTTAAATATTTAATCCTATCCCAACCATGAACTAGGAGCGAGATGCTCACGGAGTTCATCGAGGCGGGAGTCTTTCGTGCACCCGTGTGTTCTTTCGAGGACTCCGAATCTCCGTAAACCCTAAACCCTAAACCCTAAAACCCTAAAACCCTAAACCCTAAAACCCTAAACCCTAAACCCTAAAAGCCCTAAGTCCTAAAACCCTAAAAAGCCTAAGTCCTAAACCCTAAATGATCTCCTTCTTAAGATGGGTGGGGTGCTCCAGTCTTGCCGGCACCTTGTTCAGGTCTTCGCACAGGTGGCTGCGGTGGTGGTCAGGCAAGGATTTTCAGGATCTTCGACCGGTGCTGCTGTCGTTTACCAGCCTAAATAATTACCAACACTCCTTTGGGGTTTCCTTATTACAAGTATAGTAGAATGGTCCCCACAACCCTTCTAATTATTCTGGCCAGTTTCCATGCAAGTGTCACGGGCAGGCAAGTGTTGGATGACGGCTCCTCCTTGGTTCAGAAGGCCGCCCAGTCCAAGTTTCCTGGAGTCGACGAAGCCCCGGTGCTGCACCATGCAGGGAAAAGCCTCACCATCAAGACGCACTCCCAGCATCCGAAGGGCAGGAAAAGGGATCCCAGATCAAAGATTCCACGCGAGGAAAAGCTGTCGGCGGTGCAGCAGGACGCCAAGGCAAAGGTACGTGGTGACGACGACCCAGAGCCTCAAGGCAGCATCGCCCTGGGCGTCTCGGACCAGGAAGGCAACTATGCCACGCGGCTCATCACCCAGTGGAATCTTGGCGTTCTTCTGGTTGGCTCTGAGGACTTTAACTTTTTGGGTTTCTATATTAACTATAATTTTAAAAGTTTAACTTTTAGGAGGGGTTCAGAAGTCAGCCAAGGAATGGTAGGGAGACAGACACCAGCTCCTGCTTGGCCTTCGCACCAAAGCACAGGGCAGGCAGCAACGATCAGGCCCTGAAGTCAGACTGGCAAGGGAACCTGGGTTCTTGTTAAGGAACTGAATTTTAGTTACCATAATAGGGATCTATCGTAAATAATAGGGATTCCTTATTATGGTAACTTAAATTAAGTTCCTTAACAAGAACCCAGGAACAGCGATGACTCTTTCATTCCATTGGAGCCCTTTGGCGTACCCTGCGACAATGACTGGATGAAGGATAACTGGGACAAGTGGCAGGGCTACTCCTTCTACGTCTGGGAGATGGCCATCGAGAAGTGCGTGACTGTGACCTACAGTCCCTGGGCTCTCGTGTTAAGGAGCTACCATCCTAGGCCCCATACTGTAGCAAATCTTCCTTATTCTGGTAGCTTAAGGATCATGAACCAGAATAATAATGAAGCTTCTAAAATTATGGCAGCCTAAGTTACATTCCATGTCCCTAAACCCTAAACCTAATAACCTAACCTAGGCGGGGAAAAAAGAGGGTTCAAAAACACATCAAATTTCCTTGTCCCTTTCCCAGGTCTTGGCATGCAGCCTGCGCTCGCCTTCGTGGGTGGCCTGAGCTTCGAGTTGATGCCGGCGCCCTTGGCTGAGATGGACACGACGGTCTGCTGCTAGGCTCTTTAGGGGTAAACCCTAAACCCTAAACCCTAAACCCTAAACCTTAAACCCTAAACCCTAAACCCTAAACCCTAAACCCCTTAGGGTTTAGGGTTTAGGGCTTGCTGGGCTCTTCTGAAGGAGTTCGGGTTCCCCCGTTCTGGTAACTTAAACTAAAGTGAGTTTGGTTTAAGTTACAAGAAGGAGGGAACCCTATCCTTTGCTAGAGATCCCCATTTTGGTAACTTACATGAAGTCCCTTACTGTTGATGGACAACATCCTGCATGACTTTAAGGACTCTAAACTATGGGAACGATGGTATATTCCTTATAATGGGTAATGCAGGATATGGTCAACAGTAGCAAGAGCCCAGGCTGGCCGGACAAGCAGCCCGGGGGGGTGGATTTGAGCGTCTTGCGCTCCGAGATCCGCTCGGGGGGCATCATGCTCTTCAGCCGAACTTTGCGCCTGCAGAAGCGCTTTGGGAGCGGCACGGACTTCGTGGACAGCAACATCTTCGGTGCCCACGAGACCTGGCGGAACCCACTTGGCACGGCCGTGGGAAGTCACGGGGTCGAAGATGATCGCACCGTGGAAACCATGTCGAGGTCCTCCCTCCTTGCAACTTTGTTCTCAAATACCCAACCTTTAAACTTTTTGGGCTTATATATTTTAGTAGGAATCTGAAAGTTTAACTTTTTTTCTCTGGCTTATTGGGGAAGTAAGGCAACGAACCAGACGTCCGAAAGGAGCCATGAGAGCCCGAAGGCCACGGAGCAGCGAGAGCGGGGAGAGGCAGAGCTGCACTGGGAAACCGATCTCGAGGAGCTCTACCTGGCTGCCGGCCACTACGGGAAGGCTCATGGGACTTAGTAACTCTAAAGGGGTCCTTAAAGGGATCTATAGGGATCCTTAAGGGGATCTATGGGGTTTAGGGTTTAGGGTCTACGGGAAGGCTCATGGGACTTAGTAAGTAAGGTTATAAGTAAGGTTGTACTTAGGATAACCCCACTTAGGGGACTTGTAACCCCAATTATAACCTACTTACTAAGTCCCATGATCCTCTAAGTACGGGAAGGACCTGGGAATCAACAAGACCTCCGAGCTGCGTGGAGAAGACGTCCTGAAGCGCATGCAGGAACTGAAGGCTAAGAAGGGCATGAGTACTCTTCAGGCAGACGCTGAGTCCGGCACGGACTACCACCAGCTTTTCAGCTTCAAGAATCCTGGTCCGGTCTCTTTCGAAATCCTAGGACTTCTGGAAGACAACAGCTTAGAGCTTGGCATGAAGATCAACTTCGGCCCATTCGAGTCTCCTGAGAAGCGGATCCCCTTGCTCAACATCGTGGACCAGTTCACGCTGGTTCTGGGAGTTATGCCTTGGGTGTCACCCAGTAGCAAGGTGGGAGTTCCCTAAAGTTAGGGGTACCTTGTTTTGGGGTCCTTATTAGAAGGGTGCCTACTATTTAGGGTACTATACTGGGACCCCCCATTTTCCAAAAGTCGCAGGTGAAGGCCATCGCCTCTTTGAGAGACTTCGGAAAGCAGGACATCGCCTCGGTCCTGCCTGAGGTGCCTCCGCCAGAGGTGGCCCCGGGCTCCATCATCGGCCTCTACAACCCTCACTGGAGCCGCTGGATCCGAATGGGTGGTGACCATGGCGACGTCGTGGATCGCTCCGGCGCGACGGCCTTTGACGCCATGCCCGCGGACTGGACCTGGGAGAAGTTCGCCGTGGTGGACGCCGGGGATGGCCTGATTGCGCTCCACTGCCCGAAGTGGAACCGCTTTTTGTCCCTGAGCCCCGAGGGGGAGGTCTACGGAAGTCCCCACAGAGCTGCGAGCCAGTTCCACCCTGGATGGTCTTGGCAGAAGTTCAAGGTGGTCTACGCGGGCGATGGCATGATCGCCCTTTATTCCCGGACCCACAGCCGGTTTGTCGAGATGGACCGTGACACCGTGGACGCCACGCATGTCGTAGGTGAGGATAGCGTGACAGAAAGTTGGACCTGGCAACGCTTCCAGGTGCTGCGAACCAAGTGGCTGCTGCAGCCGGGTACCGTGGTGGGCTTCCACAACGCAATCCACAACCGCTACATCAGCATGGGAGATGATGGGACGATGCACCCAAGCCCTGTGAGGGACTACAACCTTGAGCTACCCGAACCTTAGGGGTACTCAGAAATATTTTTAAATTCTTGGCTATCATAATCCCTAAGAAACAGCTGAAATTAGAATTATTGCTAGGGTTCTAAGTTCAGTATAGGTATGTTCAAAAGTAAAACAAGAACCCTAAACCCTAAACCCCTAAACCCTAAACCCTAAACCAGTATAGGAACAGTGGAGCTGGCAGAGGTTCACCGTGGTGGATGCCGGGAACGGCGAGTATGGGCTCCACAATGCAAAGCACAACAAGTTCTGGAAGATGACCCTTAGTAGCTAAGGGGAAAAGGAGGGACCCTTAATGGGGACCCCTACCCTATAATGGGGCTATATGATGGCTATATAGTAGCTATATTAAGGGTATATACCTAGGGGTCCTAATACAACTTAATTAAGGAATATGGCTTAAACTATAATATTATAGGGCTTCATATTATGATTTAAGCCACATTCCTTATTTAAGGGGTATTGGGCTCTCTGGGTAAGTGGATGCACCGTCTACACTTCTTGGGATACTATTACCCACTATAAAACTGAAAGTCTAGACTTCTTGGGATAGCATCACCCACAATAAGACTGAAAGTGTACACTTCTTGGGATCATACCACCCACAATAAAACCGAAGGTGTACACTTTTTGGGATCATATTACCCACTAAAAACTCTACACTTTCTTGGTGGTTTAGAAGGACGAACTCAGCAACCAAGGACCGACACCGCCGAGATGATCGCCAGCGTCCCCAAGGCGGCCCACGAGATGCCGGCGCCGGAGCACTGGCCGTGGGAGCGCTTCGCCGCCGTGGATGCTCCTTGGGTTTAGGGTACCTAGAGACTCCAATATCCCTTAATTAAGGAATATACCTTAAATTTATAGTAGGATCCCTTATATGATTTAAGGTATATTCCTTAATTAAGGGATATTGGAGTCTCTGGGTTTAGGGTAGGGGTCCTGCATGGGTGGTTGTCAAATTTAGGGTCCCTTTTTGGGGTCCTTAATATAATGCGGCACCTAATAAAAAGAGACCATGATTTTGACAACTGCCCATATACCCTTATCTATGAATCCCCTTTATGGTATGTGAGCCTTAAACCCTTTTAAGGATCATTTCGGTCCTGAAAGGTTGGAAATGGCGAGATCGCCTTCTACAACCCCCACCACAACCGCATCTGGGCTCTTCTTAGGGATTTAACTTAAGTTCCCATAAAAAGGGATTTAATTTAAGTTCCCATAATAAAGGAGGTACTTTAAGTTCCCATAATAAGGAAGCCACATCATCTTCCATAGATCCCTGCTATGGTATCTTAGTCCTCTAAACCCTAAACCCTGAACCCTAAACCCTAAAGCCTAAATCCTAAACCCTAAAACCTAAACCCTTAAGCCCTTAAGCCCTAAACCCTAAACCCTAGACCCTAAACCCTAAACCCTCTCAACAAGCGCCCAGGCATGGTCTCGCTCTCCGAGTCGGACGTCTACGGCTCCAGCCACCGGGCGCCCCAAGACTTTCCCGAAGGCTGGACCTGGCAGAAGTTCAAGGTGGGAGTTTTCCGAAAATTAGGGGGGGTACCTGTAAAGGGATCCTTCAAGCTAAGGGATCTATAAGGGTTTTATAAAGGGTTTAGGGTTTAGGGCTTAGAGTTTCCGAAAATTAGGGGGGTACCTTTAAAGGGATCCTTTAAGAAGGGATCCTTTAAGCTAAGGGATCTATAAGGGTTGGGAGGGGGTGCTGTAATATACTATCATATTACATTCTACTACATTCTCATTTTGTATTCTATTGAACTCTATTGTATGCTATTGAAGAGTATATGGGAGTTTTCCGAAAATTAGGGGTGGTACCTTTAAAGGGATCCTTTAAGCTAAGGGATCTGTAAGGGTTTTATAAAGGGTTTAGGGTTTAGGGCTTAGAGTTTCCGAAAATTAGGGGGGTACCTTTAAAGGGATCCTTTTAAGGGTTTCTTAGAGGGATCTAGAAGGTTCTATAAGGGGTTTAGGGTTTAGGGTTTATTGAGTTTCCGAAAATTAGAGGGTGCCTTATTTTGGGGTCCTTATAATAAGGATCCTACTATTTTGGGGTCCTTATAATAAGGATCCTATGTTGGGGTCCTTATAATAAGGATCCTAATTACTATTTTGGGGTACCCAGGTCAAGCTCTATGCGGACGCCGGCTCCAACCCCAACGACCTGCCCTGGTCCTTCTCGAACTGAGCTGAGACTTCTCTGCTGAGGGCTCTTTTCTTTGGGGGGGGGAGGTACATTCTACCAAAAAGCCTCCTTTCGGGCCATAAATGTGGCCGCTTCCGCCTTGCGGCGGAGCGGTTGCCTGGTTTAAAGGGCTCTGCAAGAGCTGAGCCACGGTTTGCCAGAGTCGGCACAGTTCCTTGAGGGCGGCGCAGCGAAAATGCGAGAAGTGCAGACGGGTTGCAGGGTTTCGCTTTGATTGCAGCGTCTTGTATTTCTTGGCCTGAAAGGTGATGCCGAAGCCGTGGCTCCACGAGGAGAGGTCCAGACTGAAGGCTTGCAGCCGCACGTCATATACCCTAAACCCTAAACCCATTAAAAGGCGCCTGAATCGCCGAAGCCTGTTATAAGATCCCTTAAAGATCCCTTTAAAGGAACTCTAGTTCTACGTAGTCTTGCGTGCAAGTGTACCTGGAAGACCCTGGAGGCCGCAGAATGTACTGCTGTGGCAAGTCGTAGCTGCAGGGATGTGCGAGTCCGCGCGAGTGCCGCGCACATGTGTGTGAGTGTGAGTGTGTGTCTGTGTTTTTGTTTGTTTGTTTGTTGGCTGTTTGATTGTTTTTTTGTTGATTTGTTTTTTTGCTTTGGTTTGTTCGTTGGTTTGTTTGTTCGTTTGTCACTTTGGTCGTTCGTTTGTTGGTTTGTTTCTTTCTTTCTTTGTCTGTGTTCGTTTGCGTTCTTGCGTGCTTGTTCCAGAGCCAGCAACCTGGTCTTGCCTGTCATAGGCTGCAGAACAGAACCGGCCTTCCGCCATCGGGTGCATTCGTAGCAGGAAGGGCATTCAAAAGGCTTTGTTGTATTGTTGCAGCTTTGCAGGCTGGCGCATTCTGGGAAAGTCGATGTTGATGCACGAAAAGTTGGTCGTTGCAGGGCGGAAGAATCTGGAAGAGAGCTGGAGGAAGAGCCTCCCTGAAACCCGGGGGACACTGCCAGAGACTCCAATATCCCTTAATTAAGGAATATAACTTAAATCATATAAGGGATCCTACTATAATTTCAGGTATATTCCTTAATTAAGGAATAATATTGGAGTCTCTGGGCTTGTTTCTGCTGGATTCTCTCCCGGGTTAAGTTGCAGTGGAGGGATCCGCATGAACGGTTTGGGCACTTCGAGGTTACCTATGTGTACTGACCATGACACCAGCGTGCATGCTTCCTAGTCTCGGCATGCAGGGGCCAAGTTTCCTGACTTTAAGCGTGGCGTGCAGGTTTCTTGCCGCGCAGAATTTGTGTGGTTGTTTTGCATTTTTTTTGGGTTTTTTTTGTCGAGATTTCGCAGGGTTGCAGAAGTTGCGGGATTTTGCCACCTGGGGTTTTCAGAAAAGTTCGGACTCAGGTCCGGGCTTGCATCTCGCATCTTCCCTTTCGGAGTTTCGGGCAGACTGAGAACTGCGGCAGCAGTGTGTCCTCGGCACTCGTGGGAGCCATCATACTTGGAGGGTCGGGGGACTTAGTAACTGGTTACTTTAGGGATTTATAAGTACCATAACCCCAGTTAGGGTCCCCTTTAGGGTACTTATAAGTCTACTTACTACCTACTTACTAAGTCCCGCGACCCTCCAAGTAGTGATTATTGGTGTACCAGCATGACCAGCAACAAGACAGAGACGAAGTCATTGAAGCATTACCGGGTGCCACGCGTGGAAGGTGTGCATGCAGTATTCCAGATGGCAACATGCCGAATCTACCGCATCAAATTACGGACGTGTTTGTTACGGCCTTGCCATGCCACTGAGTGCCAAAACAAGCTCCTTTGGAATTTTGCAGTCTGCAGCATGCACCTTTTCGGGACTTCATTTCCAAACGACAGCACTGGAGAACGAGTAGCAGGCGTAGGCGTGGATGGTTTGGATATCATATCCAAACAATGCTTCAAACAATTGAAACAATGTTGTAACATCCAAAACAATGTACCAGGTGAAACTTGGGGGTGATTTAGCGCCGGGATGCGCCGGGCTTCTAGAAACACCGAAAGGATATGTGCCTGTGGCCGAAAGGGTGAAGCGTCCCGGCGCTGGGTGCTGCAGAACCTCATTCCGTGATCATCCTCAATGACCGAAAGGCCAGAATACCTCTTTGCTGCCTTCGCTGATTGCTACTTCCTGGTCTCTTATCCTGATCTGTCAGTGCTGTGTATCCTTGATGACTTCAGGATTCAAGCTTGCACCTTCAAGTAGTAGCTGTTTTTGAAAATCGCTCTCCGAAAACTCCAGGAATCACTTCTTTGAGAAGCATGCCCAAGTTCACCAACTCCGGGACTGCAGCGGGGCCCCTGCGTCCTTGCAGTTCCGATTTGGGTGGTTGTCAAAATTATGGTCCCTTTCTGGGTCCTTAGTATAGTACGGCACTTAATATTTAGGGTACCCAAAATGGGACCATCATTTTGACAACCACCCATTTGGGGTTCAGGGTTTCTGCTTGGCTTCGCTTGCGAGTTGAGGAGCATTGTCTCAATAAGGCATGAGTTGTTGTTAGAAGCATGAGGTTGGAGTCTCCTTATCTTGAGGAGCAGAAAGCCAGAATCTCGGACGGAAGCCTAAACTGTGAATCGCTGTAAATCAACTCCCTATTTCCGTCACCACGAAATCTTAAACGCGAGAAGGCGCAGAAAAAAGTTCGAGACCAAGGAATCCGAAACTTAGCACTCCAAAGTCCCTACGGCGTAGGGCTTTGGCATTGGGAATGGTAAGAGGGTTTAGGGGTTTTAAGATTCAGAGGATTTAGGGGTTTAGGGGGTTTAGGGGGGTTTAGGGGGTTTAGGGGGTTTAGGGGGGTTTAGGGGGGTTTAGGGTTTAGGCTAAGCCATCTTGCGCCTCTTTCCGCCGGATTTGGTGACGAGGAGGCTCCTGGCAACTTGTGAAAGAGGAGTGAGGTCAGCGCGCTCGTCGTCTCGCTTGTGAAAATAACGCGATGCTGCAACAAAAACCCAGAGACTCCAATATCCCTTAATTAAGGAATATTCCTTAAGTTATGGTAGGATCCCTTATATGATTTAAGGTATATTCCTTAAATTATGGTAGGATCCCTTATATGATTTAAGGTATATTCCTTAATTAAGGGATATTGGAGTCTCTGGGAACCCTTCAGCGGCTTGGGTGACACTCTTCAGACACCGACTTGCGGAAGGGCTGCTTGTTTATGTTGGTATGCTTGTAGGGTGGATGATATAAATCCTGCATTACCTTACTAGGACCCTAAACCATGGGAGTTATGGTATATTCCTTATTATGGGTAATGCAGGATTTATATCATCAACAGTTGTACCATGGCCTTGATCACTGCTGTTGCAGCTCACTGTACCGCATGCACGCTTGTTTCGGATCGAGCTTGCGGCACAAAGCGACCTGCAAGCAGAGGACCGCTACTGAACCGGAAGGCATGTGGAAGTCGTTGCTACTTGGGCTTCTTGCCTATGTCCTCGCGGAGGAGGAAGGATCTTGCATGCTGCAGAAGAAGCAGATGCAGCAGAAGTTGATAGCCAAGGACTACTGCGAGGGAACTCAAAAGGTGCTCAATTTCAACAACTTCAGCCACGGCGACGAGGTCTTGCCGGCCTCGATCCCAGGTGTCACCATCGAGGCCACCCGCCGCGCCACTGAGCCGGAGCCGGGACACCCGAAGAATTGCTCAGGGCCCCTATTGATCCTGGACACTCGCGATCCCGACTTTCGCAGCTTTGACAAGGACCTGAAGAATTGCGAGAATTGCACCCTGATGCTCTGGTCCAAGGACGGCAACCGGAACAAGGTCAACGACTGCGGCGAGCATCCGGGTGTGATGATCAGCTTCAAGTACCTTAGATAGTGAACGGGAGAACTTTAAACTTTTCGGCCTTATATACTTGCTCTATCTTAGAAAGTTTGAACTCTTTGGGGCCTGTATGTTGAAGAAGAGAGGTACGAGGAGCTGCAAGACCTGATTGACATCGAGCTTTGGGATTTGGAGGAGCCGACCTTCATCGAGCTCTATGGAAAAGATGGCGAGCTGCTCAAGAATATCTCCGCACCGGATGGCCCGGACCAGGACGGCAACCCGGCGGTGGTTGACCTCATGACGGAGGGTGTGAAGGAGATGATCGTCTACATGGGTGGCTCTGGAGGGGTCCGCAAGATCCGAAGTTGTGTGCCAGCACCGCCCTTTTGCCCGGGACCCCCCGGTGAGCTCACCTTCAACAGCTTCAGCCACGGCGACGAGATCTTGCCGGACTCCATCAGGGGCGTGACCATCGAGGCCACCCGCCGCGCGACGGAGCCGGAGCCGGGACACCCGACGAATTGCTCAGGGCCTCTACTGATCCTGGACACTCGCGATCCAGATGGTCGCAGCTTTGACAAGGACCTGAAGAGGTGCGAGAATTGCACCCTGATGCTTTGGTCCAAGGACGGCAACCGTCGTAAGGTCAACGACTGTGGTGAACACCCGGGTGTGATGATCAGCTTCAAGTTCAGGAAGTTGCAAAGCCTAGTTGACATCGAGCTCTGGGATCTGGAGGAGCCAACCTTTATCGAGCTTTACGGAGCCGACGGCGAGCTGCTCAAGAATATCTCCGCACCTGATGGCCCGGAACAGGACGGAAACCCGGCGATTGTCGAGTTGTTGACAGAGGGCGTGACTGGGCCAGCATTACACTTTTTCATTGAACCTCGAGTGTGGGGTGTAGGGTTTAGGGCAGGACACGAAAATCCTCTGAAGATGAGTGAAGCCACAACTGACTCCAGAATTGTCCCAATCGTCTCAGCTTTGCATGTGCAAGAACCTTCCCACAGCTACATAGAGTTTGCTATTTGCTATAATGATCGCAATGCTTTTGAGTAAGCATGGTGGGCAAAGCTACATCTATCGGGCATTTGCAAAGGGATTTTGTGCATCGGCCCATGAGCCCTACACCCTAAACCCTAAGCCCTCTCAAAACCCGATGTCCTCGGCACTCTACCTCGGCGTAGGCTACTTGGAGGATCATGGGACTTAGTAAGTAAGGTTATAAGTACCCTAATTGGGGTTATAAGTGTAGTTACCCTAATTATAACCCTAGTTACTAAGTCCCATGATCCTTTAAGTACGGCCCCAGAGGCCGCAGCTCGCAGGCTTTTGAAGCCCTCAAAGCCGAACGCCAAGTCCGGAAGTTCACGGCACATGGGACTTTCCGAAAATTAGGGGACCCTCATTGTGGGGTCCTTATGATAAGGATCCTATCATTTAAGGTATCATATGAGGGTCCCCTATTTTCGGAAACTCCTACATTCGAAAGAGCTTAAAAACAACGCAAGACCGTGCAGCACACCCGTCATAGAACTGTGATAAAGCCCCCTGTAAACTTTCTGAAACACGAAACCCTAAGCCCTTGCCTCAAAGGAAAGAAGGAGGTGAAGGAGATGATATACCATTGTAGAAACCCTGAACCTTGAAAGCGGCACAGAAGATGATATACCCTGCAGAAGTTTTGTCTGACAAGAAAGAAAGAGGTAAGCTAGCCATAATCCCCTTAAACCTTCAGCCATAAAAGTCTGTTGTTTTCTTTCGAGATTCTAGACACATTTTGGTACAAAGAAGGACCAGATGAAGAAGATGATATACCCTTGTAGAAGCCCTCAAGCTTAAACCCTTGTGGTACCCCCTAAGCCCTAAACCCTGAACCCTAAACCCTAAGCCCTAAACCCTGAACCCTAAACCCTAAGCCCTAAACCCTAAACCCTAAGCCCTAAAACCCTATACCCTAACCCCCAAGCCCTAAACCCTAAGCTCTAAGCCCAAAAGCTTAGGTGAAGGAGATGATCGTCCCTTGTAGAGATCCTAAACTTTAATAAAAACCCTCATGTACTTATAGGAGCCCTAAACCCTAAGCCCTAAACCCTAAGCCCTAAACCCCTAAGCCCTAAACCCCTAAGCCTTAAACGCTCAGGTGAAGGAGATGATCGTCTACATGGGCGGCTCGGGGGCAATCCGCCGGATCCGGGCCTGCAAAGCCCCGGGGAGCATCGTAGGCCCGCCGCCGGGGCCTCTCCGGGTTGAGTTCTTTAAAGGGTTCCTTTTGAAGGGGTCCTTTTAAGGGGTTGAGGGTTTAGGGGCCCTTTTAAGGGTTCCTTTAAGGGCACTTGAAGGGTTTAGGGGTTCAGGGTTGAGGGTTTAGGAGTCCTTTGAGGGGTCCTTTTAAAGGGTTCCTTTTAAAGGGCTGCTTTTGAAGGGTTCCTTTTGAAGGGCTTCTTTTGAAGGGTTCCTTTTGAAGGGTTCCTTGTGAAGGGTTCCTTCTATAAGGCTAATCAATTTTTGGTGGTTTCTTTTGAAGGGTCCTTTAAGGGTTCCTTTTAAAGTGGTCCTCTTAAAGGGCTTATTTTGAAAGGTTCCTTTGCAAGGGTTCCTTCTACAAGGTTACTTTTTAGGGGTTTCTTCTTAAGGGTCCTGTTATGAGGGTTCCTTTAAGGGTTCCTTTAAGGGTACTTGAAGGGTTTCGGAGTTTAGGGTTTAGGGGTTTAGGGTTGAGGGTTCAGGGCTACTTTTAAGGATTCCTTTAAGGGTATTTTAAGGGTACTTTAAGGGTTGGGGTTGAGGGTTTAGGGGTCCTTTTAAGGGTTCCTTTAAGGGTACTTGAAGGGTTTAGGGGTTCAGGGTTGAGGGTTTAGGGGTCCTTTAAGGGTTCCTGAAAGGAACGGTTCCTTCTAAAGGGTTCCCTTTTAAGGGTTCTTTTTGAGGGGTTCCTTTAAAAAGTTCCTTTTTCAGGTTTCCTTTTCAAGGGTTCCTTTTTCAGGGTTCCTTTGAGGGTTCCTTTACGGGTACTGTAACGATTTAGGGGTTTAGGGTGGACGGTTTAGGGTTCCTTTAAGGGTTCCTTTCAAAGGGAACCTCGTCAAGGGTTCCTTCTAATGGTTCCTGTTTAAAGGTTCCTTGTTAAGGGCTCTAACGTTTCGTTTAATGGTTCGTGTTGAAGGGTTCCTTTTGAAGGGTTCCCTTGTAAGGGTTCCTTTTGAGGGCTCCTTGTCCTTTCTAAGGGTACTATAAGGGTCTTGTCGAAAGGTTCCTGCAAGGGGTTCCTTTGTAAGGGTTCCTTTAAGGATTCTCCTTTAAGGGTTTCTTTATGATGGTTCGTGCTTAAGTATCCTTTTTTCAAGGGTTGCTTCAAGGGTGCCTTTAAGGGTTCCTATAGGAGTACTGTGACGGCTTGGGAGTTTAGAGTTGAGGGTTTAGTTTTTTTTGAGGGCGGTGGGCGACGAGGAGAGGCGCAGTTTGGGTTTTGTTGTTTTATGTTCTGCTTTTCGCGGGTTGGTATTTTTTTTTTTTTTTTTTTTTTTGGGGGGGGGGGGCGTGTTTATGTTTTTGGGTTGAGGGTATTTGGTTGCACGGATCGTCAGAGCAGAGATTTTTCACTAGCGCCAACCTTGTGGACTAAGGTTTGGATATCTGCGGGGGGGTGGGGGGGGGGGGGGTGTACTCCGTCAGCATCTGGCTCTTGAGGTCTTTACTGGGCTCCATTGTTTGTTCAGGGCATAGGGTTTAGTTTAGGCTAAACAGTTTAGGATTTACTGTTTAGGGTTTGTTTCTGAAGCTGCTAGGTGACCCTCACATCTACACCTTGGACGGCGACAAGTTTGACTTCTACCAGAGACATGGCCAATGGCTTGTAGGCTGATCTTTGGGTCTACTTAGAGGAACAGGAGAGGGCTATATGTACAGTGAACACAGAGTTTAGGGTTTTAGGGTATAGGGTTTAGGGTTTCATACTTCTTTGTAACCTCAAAGGGTATGGGGTTTAGGGTTTCATACTTCTTTGTAACCTCAAAAGACGTACTTTGAACCTCTAAGTAGGGTTTGGCCCATGACATGTTCGGCCCCGATCTTGACTCCTTCTTGCCTGGGTAGGGTGAAACGATGCTTCGGGAATAGGCTTTAGGGTTCTGGCTTCAGGCTTTACTTCGAGGCCCAGGCGACTTAGTAAGTAGGTTATAAGTAGAGTTATAAGTCCCCTAAATGGAGTTACCCCAATTCTAACCCTACTTATAACCGACTTACTAAGTCACCTGGGCCTCCAAGCAAGAGTTTAGGGTTTCAGAAGCTAGCAAACATGTGAATGTGCGGCTCGCAGTCAGTTCGTGCCGCATCGATCCAAGACAAACTCCCCTTTGTTCCATCTGCCAGGGACCCTGCGCCCTGTTCCCTCCGCCCGAACTTCGAGGGACAGCCCAAGTTGAAGCTCTAGACCAAAATCAAAAGCATTCAAACACTTCAAACAAAAACCCATGTTACACTAAGCCCCCAAACATCTGAAGGAACGGAACCTTCTCCGTGTTCCACTACGCTGGCCAGAAGCTGCCCCACCCCACCAAAAAGAACGCCACAGTGGACTGGCAACTGGGCTCTTTTGGGGGAGTCTTTTCCTTTGTCATAGTTGGGTAACATTTTACATGTTTATGGGTACTTAAACCCAATAGGGAATAACAAATTACGTTTGTAATCCTATCCCAAACCCTAAACCCTAAACCCTAAACCCTAAACCCAGTTTCGGGGTATGAGGCAAGCCGCAAAGCTTGAGGGTTTAGAAGTTTGGAGTTTAGGGAAGCCCAAAGCACCCGAAACCCAGAACCCCATATCTTTGTCCTGATAGAGGGTGTCAAGGTGACGATAAGACAGTACATATACACACATTTGTACATTCATAAATAGATATATAAGGAGAACCTATAAGAATATCTTGTATGTATGCATACATATGTTTGTATATATATATATGTATAGATTGTATGTATGTATGTATGTATGCATGCATGCATGCATGCATGCATGCATGTATGTATGTATGTGTCTTATTCTAAATGGTGTTGTGAGAACCCGAGGCAGCTCTACTCCCACTACGGAGGTCCTTTCTGGACCGCTCAGGGCGCCACGGCTGCTTCGTTTCATCCCTTGCTTCCGCACCCAACGTCTCGACCCTAGACTCGAAACCCTAAAGCATACGGGAGTTTCCGAAAACAGGGGACCCTGATATAGTACCCTAAATAGTAGGATCCGTATTATAAGGACCCCAAAAGATGGTATCCCTTAATTTTCGGAAATTCCCATACCGAGAATACAGCTCTGGCCTGAGTGCTCTTCGGCTTGACTTCCAGCCTTGCTTCGTGTACGGATAAGTCAGGCCAAGAGTAGCCAACAAACTCCTTGAAAGTTCTGCCGTAACGACTTCTACGACAACCATGACCATGCCGTCGCTTCCGCTGCTGCTACCGCTGCTGCTACCGCTGCTGCTGCTTCTATTCCTCCTGCTGCTCCTGCGAATACTTCTGCGGCTGCTACTGCTACCACCACCACCGCTGCTCCTGCTGCTCCCGATAAACATGTTACAACTGATGACCATGAGACTACCGTGGTACCACTGAGCATCACCTACAAATAGGCACATTGGTAGTCTGCTGAACACGGTACGTCGTCTTCCGGCTTTTGGGACACTCTGGTCCAGAATTGCCTTCCAGCCTAAACCCCTACATTCCCCCAGAGCTCCAAAACACCTTAACCCCTTAGTCTAGAGAACCCTAAACCTTAGGCTCGAAACCGCTCTGAATCCTTTACACACCCTGCCCAGGCCTACCCGAAATACCCTAGACCAGAAAAAACCTTCAACCCTAAATCCTAAACCCTCAACCCCCCAAGCCCTAAACCCTTTAACCCTAAGTTTTCCCTCTAAATGCTCAGGCGTGCTTCTGGTTGATCGCTCGATGGGCTCCATGCGGCAGGCGCTGGAGTTGACATCGAAGGCTCCTCGGTTTAAGGCTTCAGGTTGCTCCTTTAAGGGCTCCTTTAAGGGGCTTTTCGAAGGGCTCCTTTGAGGGGCTTCTAGAAGGGGTTGTTCAGTTTCTTTGGTGTCTAGGGTTTCGGGTCAAGTTCTGTTGATTTTTCTAGGGGTTGAGAATTCGGGTGTACAGTTGGGTGTACAGTGTTGTGCTTCTGAACGGCTTCGGATTGTTGGGCTTTGTGGGGTTTTCAAAAACAGTAGCAGTAGCAGCAGCAGTAGCAGCAGCAGTAGTAGTCGTCGTCGTAGTAGTAGTGGCAGTGGTAGTGGTCATGAACTGTGAGCAGAGTTGTCTGCGACTTTGCGAGCCGCCGTCATACGTAAGTCGTGTAGCACATGGGCTGCGACTGGAGTGGCCTAATTACGCCGTATGATTACTGGCAGCAGCAGAAGTTGCAATCTATTCTGCCACCATCCGTCCAGCTGGATTCAAAGCATGCTGCTTTAAACTTCGAGATTGATAGCCCTGAAGCTACACACCCTCGTCACCGTGGCCCTAGAGCGACCGGGTTCCAGAATGCAGGCCTTGGGGTTCAGGGCTTGAAGTCGCAGGACCATCAAAACCCCAAGCCCTAAACTCTAGAGTAGAAGCCAGAAAGTTGGAATATCATTATCATATTCCCTTTAAGGTAAATTATAGGGGATCCTGCCATTATTCCATATTCCAACTTTCTGGAGTTCCCTTTAATGTTGTGAGGATTGCCAGTGGTACAAGAAGGCCGGCAAGACCTGGTCCCCCGTGAAGAGCGGGCAGAGGACTCGTGAGGTCCCCAGAGAGCCCAAGGGGCCCCTTAATTAAGGAATATGGCTTAAACTATATAGGGCTTCATATTCTGATTTAAGCTATATTCCTTATTTAAGGGGCATTGGGCTCTCTGGGTCTGTTGTCACTGCTAGGGACTACTCCGGTCATTACATCCTTTGACGACGATGACGACACCGCTAACGCAAGTACCAGCACGAGTGCTACTACCAGCGCTTCCACTGCAACCGTGATGATGATGATGATGATACGGATTACTATTACTATTACTATTACCATTACTACTACTACTACTACTACTACTACTACTACTACTACCACTACTACTACTACTACTACTACTACTACTACTACTACTACTACTACTACTACTACTACTACTACTACTACTACTAGAGGTGTGAGTGACCAGCACATGTCAATAAGTGTGTGATATTGTACCATGTAGGTGCTGGGATAGGAAGACTGTGCTCGTGATTATTGGAGTATTGATGAGTGGCAGAAGCAGCGGTACTCAGACGATCATGGGACTTAGTAAGTAGGTTATAATTGGGGTTAGAAGTCCCCTAAGTGGGGTTATCCGAATTATAACTTACTTATAACCTTACTTATTAAGTCCCATGATCCTCCAAGTAGGAGTGGCCATGGCGTTGCCGTCGTCGCGATCGCCCCTAAAGCCCCTGAGTCCCATCTTTTATAAGCCTTTGAGCTGTAAGCCCAAAGAGGCCCCTTAGTCCTCAACTCTAGAACCTTTGAGCTGTATACCTTGGGTACGGCCCTCAATCAGTAGTAGTTGAATAAGATTCATGGTAGAGATGTATTAGGACCTCAATAGTAGCCCCATTATAGACCCTTACTGTATGGGGGCAGTATACCTAATGTATGCCCCTAAGCCTCCCTCACCCCAAGCCCAGAACCTGCACTCTAATCGTTCCGAATTCCGGCTTCGTCGTGTGGAGGAGCCTGCTGACTTACACGGACAAGGAGAGCGACACGGCCCTCACCATGTTCGAGCACGTGCACGAGAAGAAGATTGTGTTGAAGATGAGGACCTTAGAAACCCTAAACCCTAAAGCCTAGACTGTGGCGCTATGTAGCAGTTCAAAGTATGTGCCTTTAAGGTAGCCATGAGTTGCTCTTTGGTTTCGGGCTTGGGGTCAGTTGCGAGAGTAGAAGCCGTGGGAGTTTTGGGCTGCGGGTTCAGGGTTTCGGGTTGACAGTACACTCCTTACCGAGACTTTTAAAGAGAAAGGGCTCCATATTTGTGAACCCCTCGTCTTATCACTTTTCCTTTTGGATGCCTCCTGCCTAAAGGCGGAAAGCATGGACTTCATCTCGCAGAAACGTGAAACTACGAAAGAGGTTCTTTTCTTTGAAGGCATGGCATGAGTCGGAGACGACGCGCTCTTAAGCCAAGGGGTTCTGTTGATGAGGTTTTTGCAGGTATGTTGGGAGCGTTGTTTTCTGCAGCAGTTTTTGTAGGTCCCCCATGAAGATGCCTGAGATACCTCTTTATTAAAGATCGCCAGGGATATTAATGCTATACATGTCTAGGACTGTAACGAGAGTTTGTTTAGTCAGGGGCCTACGTTTGGTGTTTTCTATGTCTCGGGAAAAGCTTGACAAGTGTGAGTTTACTTTAATTCATTTCGTCATCTTCATCAGGAAGTTGCTGCGAGAAGGTTTGATGTAGCAGCAGCGGCAGCGGCAGTGGTGGCCGTAGCAGTAGCAGCAGCAGGAGCTGTAATAGTTTACCAGCAGTCGCGCTGATAGTGACTCCAGTGTTGACATTGCTGAAGCGACTGAGCCGCAGAGCCCAGAAAACCCGCGCGGCCAGATCTCTAAACAAATGCACTGACACTGACCATGGAGACTAACATCCGACACCCTTAACCGTGCACCTCAAGCAGTCCCGTGAGGACCGAGACGGGCTGGAAGGATACCTTGGTGCTCAATACGGTGTGCAAGCCCAGCGGTATCAACATGCGCAGCTCGTCTTCCCGTCTCGTAGTCACTACTCACACCAGGGCTTCCTCAGATAGGCGTCTGAATCTTCTTTGTGGGGTTCCTTACTAACCTACGACAATAGAATATGCGTCAATACCCTTTTCGAAGTCTTAAGGTACCGATGCTAAACCATCCGAATGCTGAGCTTGAGACTCTGGCCATTAAGCCCCTTAAACTGGGGCTTAAACTGGTTTTACATTTCATGTTTCAAGGCTTAAACCCCAAACCCTAAACCCTAGAACAGAAAAGGGCCGATGCACTTAAAAAAGAACCCTAAGCCCTGAACCCTGAACCTTAGGCCGGCAACCAGTCTTCTTTCGGATGCTGCCCCGATCCTCGTTACCATGGCGCCATTCAAGCCGAGGTATCTCTATGCCGGACATGGGAGAGAGCCGGTTCCTTGAAGGTCAGATCGAGGCGCCGAATGAACACCGAGCTTTGGAACCCTGTGACGTGCGGTCTTGGGGTTGTAGGTGCTGGGACTTTAAGTCAAAGGTTTAGGGTTTAGGGTTTAGGGTTTAGGGTTTAGGGTTTAAGGGTTTAGGGTTTAGGGTTTAGGGTTTAGGGGTTTAGGGTTTAGGGTTTAGGGTTTAGGGGTTTAGGGTTTAGGGTTTAGGGTTTAGGGGTTTAGGGTTTAGGGTTTAGGGTTTAGGGTTTAGGGTTTAGGGTTTAGGGTTTAGGGTTTAGGGTTTAGGGGTGCAAAACTGAGGGTTGAGGATGACTCGGGACTACAGGGCTCAGACACAGGCCGTAAACGCTGGAACCCTTAGCCCTAGACCTTGGAAGCCTTTCATCTACACTACAGAGAGAGGCTTTAAACCTTGGAACCCTAAACCCTAAGCCCTAAAACCCTAAACTCCAAAGCCTAAAACCCTAGACCCCAAACCCCCAAAGCCTAAATCCAAAAGTGTAAACTCTCAACGTTCGAAGCCTATGCCCGAGGCTCTGGGAGCCCTAAGCCCCAAGGATCTACAGGATCCAATGATTAGGGTTTAGGGCTTAGGGTTTAGGGCTTAGGGTTTTTCGGCTTCGGGCTTAGGGCTTAGGGTTTAAGGTTGATTGTTTAAGGTTAGTCTTTGGGAAAGTACATGATTATTTGACCCGTACGAAAGCCTGAGATCGCCTCTAGTCTCCATTGTGGTTTGTTCTTTTGGTTTAGCCGGTTTTCTATCTAGGATCCTATAAAGGTAGACCCAAAGCCCTAAGGGTCCAAAGGGCTCAATATTAGTTCAATGGGCTTTTCGGAGAGTATCAGTCCAAGGGTAAAAGGAGGGACCCTTAATAAGGACCCCTAGGTATATACCCTTAATATAGCTATTACCCTTAATATAGCTATTATATACCCATTATATAGCCCATTGTAGGGTAGGGTCCCCATGAAGGGTCCCTCCTTTTCCTCTTTGAAATCAGGGTATCTTGAACCCTCCGGTCGATGTGGAGGGCTTTGAGCTGCAAGGGTCAGGGTTGCGGGGTCTGGGGTTGAGGGTTTACTTGGGGTTCATGGGTAGTTATAAGTGGGGCTACAAGTCCCGTAATATGGCTTCTAAGTCTACTTACCCTACTTTTTCCCCGACTTATAACTGCCCATGAACCTCCAAGTAGGGTTTAGGGTCGGGGATTTTTGGCATTCGATAGCATTTGCAGTTTAGGATTGCGGAAGAGTCTGACACCCCCGAAGAAGAAAATCCCAAGCGAGTACAGCCCTTCTAGACAAGGTGGGCAACGGGGAGGAGCAGAAGAAGTTCGCGAGGAGACATGCTGTGTGTTTGTGATGATGCATATATACAGATATGTTGTATGTATGTATGTATGTATGTATGTATGTCATAGGCTACGTCCGACCTGGACTTCGCGCCTCCGAAAGCGAAAGCGAAATGTATGTATGTACGTAGATATATATATATATATACACATACACACATCTCTCTCTCTCTCTCTCTCTTTCTATCTGTATCTGTATTTACATCTGTATATATACCTATGCCTTTGCCTATACCTATACCCATCTGATCTCCATCTCTGTCTATGTCTCTATCTGTATCTGTACCATCATCTGCATCCGTTTCTATATCTGTGTCTATTTCTATCTATCTATGTCTGTCTACATACACACACATGAATGAATATATAGTCTGTGTGTGTGTGTGTGTGTCTGTCTGTGTGGGTGGGTGCGCGTGAACGCACGCATGCATGCCTCTGTTGAGCATGATCTCTTTCTTGTTATCACGAGCAAGCCAACGAGCAATGGACAGTGAGGGGTGTTGTATGGCGATGCCAAGACCACTTATTTTTCTCGAAAATCGTTTTGTCAACGAGGGAGAAGTGGGAAAGCCTTCAACGTAAAGCAAAGCAGTCCGTCTTACAACGCAGTCGGTGTCTTCAAGGGTGCAGCCCAGTTTTTGGGTCCGGGTTTTTCGGGGGTGTAGGGTTTTGGGATTTGGTCTCTGGCTTGAGACAATTGCCGCGAGCATGTTGCAGCTGATGCCGAACCCAGTGCGCGAAGCGGTGCAAATCCATGTGGAGAACCGCAAAAGCGTCGATCCTAAAAACCCTAAACCCTAAACCCTAAACCCTAAACCCTAAACCCTAAAACCCTAAAACCCTAAACCCTAAACCCTAAACCCTAAACCCTAAACCCTACACCCTAAATTCCTGGAATCCACGCCCCCGGAGTCTGAAAGTCGCGCTTATTGCCTGATTGGGGGCCTCCTGGGGGCCCAAACCCTGACAAGGCTGATGTGATAGGTTTAGGGTTGAACAGGTATTGCTGCTTAGGCGTTCAAAACCCAAATCACTTTCCTGTAGTGGGCTGAGGTGCATGACGTATGCACGCGCAGCTGTATCTCCTGTAGGCCTGCTGGCCCGAAACGCCCCAGCAAACAGTTGTAAAGTCTCCTGCTTGGGATGCCCCCGCTGTGGTGGTGGCTTTCCTGTATCTGTGGGAGTGCAGCCTGGTTGCATGCTGTTGGCCGCCCTTTGGGAGAGGATAAGATGGCATGTTGCAGTGCAGGCTTTCAAGGGGCTTGTGGAAGATCTTCACCGGCTCGGGTCTTCAGAAACCGACATAGGGCTCTTCGGCACAAGTTGTGTTCTAAGCTTCGAGCTGTCTTGGATTCCAGTTGCAATACGAAAGGTTGCCACACAGTTGCCCATGAAGCGGGAGTTCGCTGTGAAGAAACTCCTTTTGCTGAGGGTTACGCAGGATTCCTCACGACCTTCGTTGAGAAGTCCAAGCTTCCTTTCGCGAAAGCTGCGGCTTCAGGCGTGCCGAGGGGGCAAAGGCCGACGCGCCGCGACCTGTTCCCTTTGCCCCGCCTGCGGAGTTGGCCAGCTCACATTGCTGATGGAAAGCAGAGCCGCAATGGTCTTTTGGCTTGTGCGGACTTGTGCTGTGCAGCATTGAATCACTTGAGCGATGGCATGCCAGAAACTTCGTGCTCTCGGCTGGGACAAGGCTGCACAGCTGCCCAGCGGGCTGTGCAAGAGCATGTCTGTCAGCGAGTGGTCCGGTTTTGCACCCGCCTCAACTCCATCAGTGACGGGCCGTTCTCCTACAAGGGATCGCTGCAGACTTTTGGGCGAAACAGCGCAGGCTACGAACGCATCCGTGGTGGCGACGTGGACCTGCCGACTCGCGCAGCTACGTGTGACCCTGGAAACCTCGTGGATCCTGGACTGTGGGCAACTATTTGTAGGCCAGGAGCTATCTTTGAAGAGCCTCAGTCTTTCCAGCAGTGTTTGGGCTTCACCAAGACTTTCGGCATGGAGAGAAAGGAGTATATTGATCTTACTTGCAGAGAGCTGCGGTGCAAGAAGCTCCGCCTACGCACGCAGGTGTTTGGTGTTGCTGGGGTTTTTGCAGCGGCAAAGAGCACCAAAGGCCGTCAGCGGAAAATCTGGGACGGCTCGGTCCTCTCCGAATTTGCTGCTCAGCCTCCTAAGCCTTATCGGCTGGCAAATCCAAGCTCTTTTCTCGACATCGTGGTCCGTCGTGGTGAACGCTTGTACATGTCAAAGCGAGATGCCGCTACTTACTTTGATTTGCTTGCGGTCCCCTCAGATCTGCAGCCTTGGTTTGGCCAGGAGCCTGTAGCACTGCACGAGCTTTTATCACAAGGAAGATTCGCACTGGCGGAAGTCATTGGCTTTGTTGACGACCTTGCTCAGGGAGAAGGCTTGTTAGCGCAGACGCTGCTTTTTCCTGTGCATGCTGCTTGGCCCATGGGTTTCAGCTGGTCCTCCTGCGTGGCGCAGTCGAACACCATCGGCTTGTTGACGGATGCTGGCGTCGATCCTCGTTGCATCCTCAGCCTGGACCACGCGTTGCCTGGCTCTCAGAAGGAACTGTGTGCCGTGGCCACTGACGACACCTTGTTCTTTCATCGCTGCCCGGCTAGGGGGCGTCGTACATTGTCTAAGCTGGACAAAGTGTTTGACAAGAACGGTGTCGCCAGGAACGTCAACAAAGACATCTCGCTTGCAGCTGAAATGACTGCGCTCGGATGTGACATCTCAGCTGAGCCGCCTTTGGTGGAGCCGTGCAAGCAGAAACTGGCCAAGTTTGTGGCCGCTGTGTGTGACTTACTGGAGGCCCCCGCTGCCAGCCCTGCGGCGGTTAACAGCGTCTTGGGTACAGCTCAGTGGTTTTGTCTACTGCAACGCAGCTTGTTCAGCATCTTCAATGCAATCTACAGGTTCGTGCAGATGGAGCCCTCATGGAAGCCAGCTCTTCTGCCTGCCGCTGTGAAAAACGAGCTGCTCGTGTGCTTGGTACTTTCGCCGTTGCTCCCTGCAGCTTTGGACAGGCCCTTTCTCCCTGAGCTCTTGGCCTGTGACGCTGCGCCGCAGTACGGCTTTGGTGTGTGTTCACTCGCATGTGGGCGCAAGCTCGTTGAAGAAGTGGGTCGCTACTCTGAGCGGCGAGGTGACTACGTGCGTTTGCAAGCTGCAGAAGGGGACGAGCCTGAAGTGCCCAGGCTTGGAGTTCCACGGAAGTTGCCGTTTTGCAAGGGCGACTTCAAGCCTCTCATTTCCACTCCGGCCAAGTGGCCCGCCCACTCCGGAGTTCTGGAGTGCCATGGAGTACTGCTGACGGTGAAGTGGGTGTGCCGCAGTCGCGCACGACAGGGCCATCGGGTCGTCGTTCTTGTGGATGCCAAAGCTGCCATCGGCAGCATCAGCAAAGGCCGAAGCTCAGCAAACAGCTTGCGACGGTGCTTCGCAGCATAGCTGCGCACTCCCTGGCCTGCAATCTTTTGTTGCGGCTCGTGTACATCCCTTCGGAATCAAATCCGGCGGATGGCCCATCCCGAGGAAAAAGAGCTGTTTATCCTGTGAAGAGAAACTTCCTCAAAACATCCAGAAGGCCCATGCGGGTCTAATTAGTTTTCATCAAAGTCAGAGACTTCTGCCGCTGTCGCTCTCCTTTAGGGCACCGGGCTCTTCGCGAGTGAGGCTTGGGACCTGCTCAAGCTTTGCCTTCGACTGGCAGTGGGCGATGCCAGGAGCTGTGCTCTGGAGGGTGGGCTCACGATCTGCGCCCATTCGTGATCACTCCTTTTCTGTCGAAGTGTATAGACACTTCTGTGTATCTGACTGCGCTTCATTTGAGGGTGCATAAGTTTTGTGGGGTTTTTCCGGCCGCTTAGAGGTGTTGCGTCCAGTGCGGGGTGTTGGGCTTTTTGGAAGCACTGAAGCCTTAAAGGCCTGTGCTTGCTCGCACTCTGTGGAACACGTCTCTAAATCCCAGCGGCACGAAGTCCCAAAACAGTCTGCATTGTCGTCTTAGACGTCAGCAAGTGCAGGAGAGCCGCTTTGCAGCAATGAACAGGTATTGCTGCTTAGGCGTTCAAAACCCAGGTCACTTTCCTGTAGTGGGCTGAGGTGCATGACGTATGCACGCGCAGCTGTATCTCCTGTAGGCCTGCTGGCCCGAAACGCCCCAGCAAACAGTTGTAAAGTCTCCTGCTTGGGATGCCCCTCCCTTTTTTCCCTCCCTTTTCGCATCCCTAGCAGGTTCCTCGTTTGCAGGGGGCTTTTTGGAAGCACTGAAGCCTTAAAGGCCTGTGCTTGCTCGCACTCTGTGGAACACGTCTCTAAATCCCAGCGGCACGAAGTCCCAAAACAGTCTGCATTGTCGTCTTAGACGTCAGCAAGTGCAGGAGAGCCGCTTTGCAGCAATTAGGGTTTAGGGTTTAGGGTTTAGGGTTTAGGGTTATGGGGTTTAGTAGGGATTAGGGTTCCCATAATAGGGTTCAGATTATATAAGGAAGGCTATGCTGTCAGGTGTTCTCGGGTTTGCGGTCTTCTAGCTCTTGCCCTGATGTCATAGGAGGCCAAAAGGGGTTTTAGCCTATGGGGTTTAGTAGGGATTAGGGTTCCCATAATAGGGTTCATATTAAGGAATCCCTACCCCAAGAATCTTAAATCCCCCTTTTGGCCTCACATCATGATGGCCCTTGTGCACCCCCTGCCCTAAAACCCTAAGGCAACAAAAGCGCCACAATCCGAATTTCCCAATACACCCAGAAACCCGGAACCCTCATAGGACCCTTTACAGAACAGCCTAAACGCTCATGGGACCCTGTAGACAGGCCTCATGTCATCCTTAGTTTAAAGCTCCAAGCCAGAAACCCTGAGCTCTAAACCCTGACTTTGTCAGAGAGGAAGCAGCCCTGGACCGCCCTTGGCGGGAGTGGCCCAGCCGCGACCTTCATCGAGCAACTCGAGTCCAAGCCACTTGATCTATTAAGGTTGAGGGCCTGGGGGTTTAGGGTTTAGGGCATTGGCTTTTCATACATCGGTAATCTTGAGTTCCAGGGTTTTGGGGTTTCGGGTTTAGGTGGTTTGGGGTATCAGTTTTCAGGATCTGGATCCCATAAAGGTTTGAAGGTTTTAAATATAAGGTTTTAAGGGAGTTCCATAGCTCTTTTTTCTAGGACTGTGGGAAGTGTCAGAGGCGGATGCGGTGAGGCCTTGAAGAGAGATTTAGCGCAGGGTTCGACAAGGGCTTTGTGAAAGGTCCTATTCGGATGATCGGGCATTCGTAGGGTAGGCTGAGGTTCTATGACGGCCGCAAAAGGGTTCCAGAAATGGTTATCTCTTGGTGGGTTTAGGGCTCAGGACCTAGGATTTAAGGTTAGGAGTTGATTTACGGTTCAGGGTCGAGAGGGCAATGTACTTTGGACCAAGGTTGCGATGAGGGTGTTGCTTGCGATTGTTTTGCTCTGTTGAGAGATCTCCAGGAAACGCAGGTTGGGCTGTTGGGCTTTCTGGCGTTCTTACAAGGGGTCGTTGTGTTGCGGGATTGGGTCATCGAGTTTAACCTCCTCTCACAGGGGGGGGAACATGCCTAAACCCTAGACCTGAAATTTGAAAACCTCACATGAATCAACCCCCAAAATTCTAAACCCTAAAACCTCAACCGAGACCCTCAAATCCGTAACAGCCTAAAAGCCTGAACATCCTCAAGCCTTAAACCCAAGACCCTAAATCTGAAAACCGTAAACCCTGAACCCTAAACTCTAAACCCTAAACCCCAAGCCCAAGACCTTAAATCTTAAAAACCGTAAACCTTAAACCCTAAACTCTAAGCCTCATACCCTGAGCCGGCTGTGGTTTGTTGGGATGGCCCTAGGGCTTTTCGTTGGTTGGGTTAGGGGCTTAGGGGTTTGGGGGTTTGGGGTTCAGGGGTGTAAGCGTTGAGGGTTTAGGGTTTGGGGGTTCTAGCGTATAGGGTTTAGGGTTTCGGGGTTTAGCGACCTACAATGACGAAGGGTTCTGCATGCTTCTCTGCAGGAGTTGAGGCGTTTAGGGCCAAGTTTAGGGTTCAGTGCTAACCCCAACCCCTACACCCTCTACACGGTCAGGCTCCCGTCGCTTCGGCCTTTATAATATAGTACTGAAAACATTAAATCGCAGAGGATCTCTTTACGTATTTCCACTCTTAGCGTGCTCTCTGCCCTCTGCTCGTTAGAGCACGAATTATGTACTGCAATGGCCTTACTTGGAGGTTCATGGGTAGTTATAAGTGGGATTATAAGTTCCCTAATACGGCTTATAATATAAGTATAGTTACCCTACTTATAACCCTACTTACAACTATTCATGAACCTCCAAGTACAAGAATCTGAAGCCGCAAACGCCCAAAATGCATAACCTGGAAGTGCCATCTGAACACCTCATCAAACAGACAGCTTCGGTACAACTGGTAAACCCCATAGTACATAGAACCCTGATAAATCCACAACGCTTCGTTAAAATCCGGAGAATGATCTTTCAGCTTGGTCCATGAACCCTGAACCCATCATCGAGGCCCCCTCCCGCCTTATCTGAAACCCCATGTACCCTATAAAGCCTACTTAGAGGATCATGGGACTTAGTAAGTAGGTTATATTTGGGGTTAGAAGTCCCCTAAGTGGGGTTATCCTAATTATAACTTACTTATAACCTTACTTACTAAGTCCCATGATCCTCCAAGTACTAAAGCCATAAGAGTTCATAAAGGTGCATGCAGAGCCCGACAAAGCACCACAGCTGTGGTTCTCGGTTGTCAGCTCTACCAAAATGTCCAGTTTCTAAGTCTCAGGTATCATAGGCTTTCTTACCAGGGTTTGTGGTGACTTCCAGAGTTCACCATCTCCCTACACCCCTCAAACCCTAAACCCCGAAACCCTAAACCCCTAAACCCCTGAAGCCCTAAACCCTTAAACCCCTGAACCCCTTGAGAAGGATCCCTCGTTAGTCGCAGTTCCTCGCTTATCAGGAAGGGCCTCTCCCTCCTGACTGCCTGCGGTGAGGCCGCGGTGAACTGTAGGGTTTAGGGTTAGGAGTTGCGTTTAGGGTTTAGGGTTTAGGGCCTTTCAAACGCCAGGAACGAGTTGAGTTTCAAGTTTGCAGGTGTCTTATGAAGATCGTAAGATTCCAGCTTGCCGGCACACACCCAAAGCCCGTGCTGAAAAGGGTTAAAGGCCCCAAGCTGTGTAGGCGGTTAGTTATTTGTCCATTCATTCATTAGTAGTATTATGGTCCTTATAAGTAGTGTTCTTCATCATTACAATTCGTTTTGTTCGTATTATATTTGTGTATTTACTTTTTCGTTTGTTATTTTGAGAATTTACTTATCAACTTTTCTGTTTCCTCATGCGTCTTTCCGGAGGATCTCGACCCGACCAGGTTTCTACTGAGACATTACAGGTTTGTAGGCTGCAGCATTTCAGTGTCATTTCATGTTATCTCTGTCGCTGAGGGGTTCTTAGAGTTGAGAGATCAGGGATTCGTGCAGAGTTGTCTTCATAGGTATTCGTTAAAGCTCAAAGCATTCTGCAGCAGCCCAAACCGAAAAAACCCTAAACGCCAAACAAACCTTAAATCTAAACTGCGCTAAAGTTTTTGGGGAGGGTGCGATGCCGCACGAGGCTGTTCGAGGGAAGAGGTGACCTTCCCAGAACCCGAATCGTGACCGTATGGAGCCCGTCTAGAGCCCTATGCAAACTTCGTAGAATCCTCTTGGAACCAGTATAGAAACAGTAGAATACCTTAAACACTAAACCCTAATCCCCTAAACCCTAAACACTAGACCCCTAAACCCCTAAACACTAAACCCTAACCCCTAAACCCCTAAACCCTGAACGAATCCCCGCCTAGAGCTCCTGGAACCCGAAAAGAGCTCCGAGCCGCCAGACCGCAGGCTTGCCATGATCCAAACCTATCGGAGGCCTCAAAAGGTGGTATGAAGGTAGGTGGGATATTCCCAAATAAGAGTCCTTATATAAGGGATCCTTAATCCCACCTACCTTCATACCACCTTTTGAGGCCTCCGAACCTAAGACGCAGCACGCTACAAGATCGAAGCCCTATGGTTGATGATAGAAATCCGGCGTTACCTGGACCCTAAGGAACCTACCCTTTTCGGGTTCCCTAATATGATTTCTTTGTATAAATCCTTAAAAAGATAGGTTACGAGGGTTTAAGGTACCCATTGTAAGGACTATACCATAATCCCCATAGTTTACGGTCCTTAGGGTAATGCAGGATGTATATCATCAACAGTAAGCCCTAAACCCTTAAGCCCTGAAGCCCTAAAAGCCCTAAGCCCTTAAGCCCTGAAGCCCTAAAAGCCCTAAACCCTTAAGCCTTGAAGCCCTAAAAGCCCTAAGCCCTAAAGCCTTGAAGCCCTGACCTTGAGACCCTACAGCCACAGACCTGCGACCCTAATCCTCCTGAGCCTC